TGAAAGCAACCTATATATGTCCAACAATAGACAAATACGTAAAGTATACTTATACACGATAGAATACTATTCTGCTATATAGAAAGATAAACTTGAGTCATTTATAGAAAAATGAATGTACCTTGAAAATTAAGAAAAATAAATCATACATACAAGTTTAAATACCATAGATACAAGTTTGTTTTAGTTACTTTTCATTGCTGGGACAAAATACTCAATACTCATGAGTTGAAAGAAGAGAGGTTTATCTTAGCTCACAGTTTGTAGAGGTTCAGTCCATGGTTAGCTGGTTCCTAGGCCTGGCAGCCTGCCAGGGGGAAACAGTCCAGAGCAGGGTAGGCAAGAGGCAGCCGCGAGTGGTAGACTTGAGCCTCCCTGTTATGGTTTGCATTTAGTTGTCTCCCCAAAGCTTCAGGTAGTCAATGGTGCAGCTTCTAAAGTTTGTCATTAATTCAAGCTCCAATGTAGGGATTATGGGTGTGAGTGCTGCACTCCCCCTGGGGCGGATAATCTGCATCACAATGTAAGGAGAGCAGAGGCTTGCTAGCTGCCCCTCCCTTGGCTCTTGGTTATTTTCCCCAGTCATGAACTGCTGCCCTCTGCCTTGGAGCCAGCCAAGTATGGACTAAAACCTTCATTAACTATGAGCTAAATAAACCTTTCCTTCCTTCATTTTGGGCATCAGGTATCTTGTTCCAGCAATAAGAGAAGAGTAACAGAGTCGCTCCCTTTCTCTTTTATCTCATCCAGGCCATCTATTGGATGGTGCCACCCACACCCCGGGTGGGCCTTCCCAGTATCTACACCAGAACTATGGTACACCAATCTGCGGGCTAATTTATCGCAAATAGTTGTAACTGACCCTTACTCCCCTTCCATACCCCTAAGGTTGGTAAATACATCCACATGTATTAATTCAGTTATGTGCATCAATTTGAAAAGGAACAAGGGCTAGGGACTAAGTCAGTGATAGAGGGTCATTAATATAAGCGAGAAGGTCCGGGTTCAGTTTCCAGCATAGAAGGAAGCAAGGTGGGGGGAGGAATGCTCAGAGAGGGAAAGTTGCACAACCCGTCCACACTAGAGCGGAGACTGAACTCAGCCTGGCCCCAACATGACAGCTGCCACGGCCTTGGTGCATCCTTCCTGCTCCAGCGGGAGCATGAGCAACAGATGCCAGGCACTGTGTCGCCACAATAGCAGTGACTCCTAGGCACAGGGGACCCACCCCGGGCATGCCAGGGATGCTGTGGGCAGATGGGACTTTCCTCAACAGCCTGACCCTGAAAGGCACCTAGGACTCCATTTCCACTTGCACTGCCCCAACAGAGATAATTCACAAAGGGAGGACGTGGAAATAAAGACAATTCCTTGGGCTATTTAGCATCCCAGCGCCAGCCTTCCGTGTTGATCTTGATTCAGCTTTGATTCTCTGCCAAGAAAGAACAGTGGACCTGGAGACACCAGAGGTCTGGTCCTGCCTCTACCCCAATCTGGTTGGGTGCCCTTGGCCCAGCCCCTTCCCCTCTCTGAGCTGCAAAGGTAAAATCCTTTCACTGGGGTCTCTGTACCTTGCATCCCAGCTCTGTGTGACCCACTCGACGCCAGGCCTGTGGATGGTGTGGTAGACACGCGAGCAGCGGCGTAGGATGCACGCCCGCCGAGAGCCTGGCCCGCGGCCTGGGAGGGGGATGGGCTGTGCACAGGCCCGGCACACACAGGATCGGACGGAGAGTTTCTCCACTTCCTCCCTTGGGCCTTGTTCCTGGAGCCAGCCCCGCTGAAGGCACTCAGCCATTGCCTAGCTCCTGCACGCAGCCCTCCCTCACCCTGCCCAGGACAAAGCCTCGCTGCTCCCCACCGCCCCCGCCACAGCGCCCACGCTCCTTATGGCCCGGCCAGGAGAAGGCCTGCCTGCACCTGCGTCCCGCCTGCCCATCTCGGGGATCCCCGCCTCCTCTCACCTTAACTCAGAGCTGAGGGCTGGCACTTTCTAGGCTCGGCAGTGAAGCTGCAGGTGCTGGGTGCAGACGCCGAGCCTCCAGTTCCTGGCGCTGTGACTTCAGGCCAGTTAACGCCCATCGCAGTACCGCGATGTCCGCATCCTTAAAATAGGGCCTCGCGTCGCACAGGCAGTGTGCGTTCGGTGAGTCACTTAACATAGTTCCTGGAACAGCAAACAGCCTCGGTGCCAGTTGTGAGCCTCGGCCCGGCCCGCTGTGGCTGCCACCTCCTACTTGCTCCGGCTTGTCTCTCCTTCCCTAAACCGTAGTTCAGCTGCAGAGTGGGAAGCCCTCCTCTTCCTCCTTCTCCACCCGGGAGGCTCCTGCCAGCCCTTAGAGGCCTCTGCGGACGCCACTCATTGCCTGGGAAGCCGGCCAGCCTTCCCTCCAGCAGAGCAAGATCTTCCTCCTCCACCCACCTCGGTAACCTTAGGCTGGGGACTGTGCTCAGTCAGGGTCACCAGTGATGACAGCCAGCTTTGAGCCTCCAGCTAGGATGTGGCAGGTAATATAGTTACTTCGGCTTCTGCCAACAATGTACCTGATTGTAACCAGTTTATAGGAAATTCAGGGACTAGAGGAACAGGCAGTGTTTAGAAGTCAACCAAATCTTTTTTTCTTTTTGGAGCAGGGACTGACTATGGAGCCCAGAGTAGCCTTGAACCTGTGGCAGGCCTCCTGCTTCAGTCTCCCAAATGCTGGGATTACAGGCATTTGCCACCACACCCAGCTGACAAGTCCTGAATGTGGGACAGTTTAGAGAAGACAACTGCCATGATCTTTTAAAAGTCATTGTTGGGGGGAGGGGGGAAGCAACAACAAAAAAATGCAGATGAGGTTTTAAAGAGACCTAAAAGTCTAACAATGACAGATGTGATTTTTTCTTTTTTCTTTTTCTTTTGCTAGGTGTAGTGAAACACTGTGAGGCTGAGGTAGGAAAACTGAAAATTAGGGCCTCACCTGATAATGTAGCAACTTAGTAAGACTCTGTCTCAAAATAA